CCTGACGCTCTAGGGGGGGAGTACTGTAGTGTCTGTAATCCGTTGTCACATTTACCATTCTTCCTGAACTTGAACCACACTTTGTAACTGTCGTTCACATTGTATCATGACGTTTGTTTTAATGTTACGAATACACAATTTTCCGGCGCGACCTGCTGACTTCTTGCTGAACGACTGCATTTACGCCCGTTGAACTGTTTGTTGACTGTTGAACCAGTGGGACTAAATCTCTGTGTTTGTGTCAACTGTTAAACGTCACAATAAATCCCTGTGACAATTTTTTTAGCCGTGAATAATTTTCCTACCGTGGAATATATCACTCACACGGAGCCATCTGCAGGAAATCTCGACGAGTGAATATTTTCCTCTCACAGCCAGTTACTGCATTCGGATAGGTGTAGTGGACTACTGAACCTACGCATTCGTGAGTCCCCATTTGACTACTCATTCCTTTCCTATTGTGATTTTTGTGATTTTGCATTGGTTACTTTTGCTTGTTAATTTATCCGAACACGCTGGTTAGGTCCTAGTCCGCTACACATAGTCACTCCGGAAGCGTAAAAGTACTCTCCGATATAATTTATCGTTCAGGCATTCACCCTCAAATTTGGCCGCCCAATCTGAGACGACTCGTGAATTTTGTTGTATTTTGAGATTTAAAACATGGTCTTGAATTAAATACCACTCCTCTCCGTTTCCCGATTAAAACTGACCAGGCGGTATAGGTCCCAAATTGCCCTTTGAGATGTTATCTTTCATGCGCTTTCCGTTTCGCGCTAAGGTCAGATCCCCTTCGAAGCGCCTCTTCATATACTGAAGTCGATGGGGATCTAGAAGGCATTTGTAAGGAAGCCTTTTAGCCGCTATTCACAGGAATGTTATTTCGTGTTGACCCCTCATACGTATTGAGGACTCTCCAAGAATTCGGTGCGCTTCCTTTTCTTCGACACTGGCATGTGCTTGGAGCCCTCAAATCGTAGAAATCAGTCTCATTTGTCGCCTTTAGATGAGCGATGTTGTAATATCTTTTATGCTTGAGTGGTAAATCTGTCTTTATACTATAAATTCCGTGGGCGATGGACCAAATAGAACCCATCCCAAAGGTGTTTCAACAATATAAGATTCATTTTGCTTGACCATCTTTTTCATAAGCCACCGTACTTCTTAAAAGTCTCCTTCACATGTTTTCAAAAAGCTCCACAAAATGGCTTCCTCTGATTGGCGAAATTGACAAGCTATCTTCGTTAGGCAAATGCCTGACGGGCTAATGGGCGTAGAATGTATTGAAAAGGCTTGTTCAGGGGCTACGGTCTCACCTGCACCTACCTATTAAAAACCCGCTAATGCGATCGTAAGTGATTCACGCCTCATCCCAGTTGGCAAATTCTTATTCCATTAAAAACCGCTTCCCAATCAGTAGTGAATGATAACCCTGATTATCTGCTCACTTGTATAAATCATCTATGCAGATAAATTGCAATCCAATCAGTCTAAAATGGACATTTTTAATATAAAGCGGCAATCTTGGAAACCGCTTAGCTTTCGAAAATCCATTTTCATTTTGTGAATACCAGGCGGCGCTAATGACTGTGCCCAAGCGGCCACAGTTAAAGCTGCCACCCCAACGTGGTGGACCGGCCCTTGTGCTGCAAAAGTTTCGTGAGCTAGACAGGCAGAAGCATCGTTTCTCAGGGTGCTTTCAAGACAAAACGGCCATGGAGAAGTAAACAGACGACAGCAATGGGATGTTGTACAACGAGTAATCGGGTAAAAGGTAGCCGGTTAATAAGCCATTACTATCCTCTACGATACATGGATTCACGATTTAATACGGTGGAGCAAGGCTTTTGCCCAGGCTTTCTGAGTTTTGTTTGCTCTTTTCGTTTGGCAACTTTTGATCACTTATAGAGCGCAAGCGAAAAATTATTTAGCGCTTGGCAGTAATCTTTTTAGTCCGCGCACCAAACCAAAAGATTTCTAAAAGCTCTTTGAACTGGGTACTAGGTGCAGTGTTGACAACCGTAGGGGGAAGGGTATTACCTCCACTAACTGCCTGAAGTGAAGGAAAAATATTGTCTAATAACGATGTGCTCTGAGCTTGAAAAGCCTATTACGTCGTTCCGTTTGTTAGTCGGGTCAAACCTTGTTCCAACGTGGCAGAAGACATATTAGGTCTCTTAGGATGCAAGGATGCTCCAGACGAAAGCGGCAAACACCGCGAAACGCGTTGTATACTCCACGGGCTTATGGCCACCAACAATTTTCGTAGCAGCTCGTTTAACTCGCTTAGTGAAGTTGACGACTTTTTTGCGTCCCGAGTAGAAACTTGGTTGGCAAATTCAAGAAGCAGCTTGACTTAGGCCCTACAAATTATCTAAAAGGCCGTGTGAGTAATACAGGGAATTTTCATCAGATCATTCGTAGAACAGTGGATGCCTTTTGAGCCAATTTTTCTCGTTGAAGCGAGTGGGACACGTTTTGAAGAGTGCCAGATACCGGAATACTTTTCGCTTCCCCTTCTCATAATATCCTCTGGTTTATTCTCACCATCCACGAGAGGTCTTCACTGAGTCTCCTCCAAATTACATATGGATACATTTTTCGTCATTTAAAGGAGGGTGTATGCCTAGCCGTTACTTGCCTGTAGCGTTCATATCCATTTTGAGGGTACTGGCCCACAAACAGCAAAGTTTTAACTCGTCCCCAAATGCAGCCACGGACTTGAAACAAGATCCGTAGGGTCGTCGACGCATACGAGAAAACGTAGTGGTCCCAAAACGGAGCCTTGAGGAACTCCAACGGAGACCGTTATCGAGGAAAATTAGATTAAGTCTACTTTAACTCGGAGCGTTCTGTATGATAAAAATATTTTACCCAGTGTGGAGCTTTCATTTGAATTGCTTTGGGTTCGAGCTTTTGGGCATGTGAGACCCGATCGGATGCATGTGAGAATTCGAAAATTAAGGCGCCTCGTGTCCTTGAGCAGCAAAATTTTTATTTTTTGGGATTGATCCAGTATTGCAGCTTATTTTTATATGTTCCACGAGCCTATTTCTGATTTTAGTGTTTCTGCGTATAATGAAATTCCAGCTTGCATTCTGTGCCACCTATATTTATCCTCTACAAAAATAGTTGCGTCGTCATTTTTAGAATTCGCAGAATTCAACCTAACGCGCCTCAAATATAGTGGATTCAGCTCAAGTGACAAACAGTGAAGAGGATATGGCAGTGTGGATGATGCCAAAAATAGGGACTTAGTGAACAAGCGCTTCACATTCTCCATAGCAGTGCGGCACGAATGTGAGTCATGTGAGACAAGTTCAGGTTTGGATTCAAGAATAGGTTTTACCAGCTGTTTAAATATGGCACTTTAAATGATTTATTTTAGAAGGATCGACTAATGAAATGCTTTGAGCTTGCGAGATTTAGCTTCTCTGTACCATGCATGTTGGTTAAAAGTAAAAGCCCAGGAATACCAAAGGCCTAGGTCTCTCATTTCGGGAAGAGTAGTATTCGAGAGTCTTTTAATAATGAGCACCCCAGGAGGAATCTGGAATCGATGTGAAAGCGCTTGGTGTTTTGTAACGGCGAAAGAAAGACAGAAGTGGGAGGACCAAGAGAATGAAGAATTCGGTTGCCGCTGAATAGTGGCTAGAGTAGAAACAAAGTCAATGGCCTGAAACGTGCAAGCTATTTTAATATCATCAGCGTACAGAAAAGGGGATCAATGATTGATTAAATCAGTGTTATTACTAAGGTATAGTGAGAAGAGTAGAGAGCCAAACACAGTACCCCGAACTCCGCTGCTAATGGGATGAGGTGATGACGATAATTCCTCGAGCATGGCGACCTGGGTTTTCCCAGTGGGTTAAGAAGGAAACCATCGCAGCAGCGGGACCCCCATCTTCGCAGCAATGGTACACAGCCCGGCATACTGGGCGCACAAAGTAAGGCTGAAGAAATGAACCTGGTGTGTGTTATCTAACCTCGGTGCCATAAACTCGTACTGCCGATTGTTAAGGGTCTTGGTGGTGAGCAGCTGATCCACGACAGGGAACTTGATAAGGAGCTCTAAGGTACGGGAGAATAATTGGGCATGGCGGATGCCGCATTAGCTATCTAGAGCAGATCATTGACCTGACGTATAGTGTGGAACCATGGTAGAGTGCTTCCACTGACTTGGGACTGTTCCCATTTTAATGGAGATATTAAAGAGACTAAAGATAAGGGTGTGGATGTCCGGGCCACCAGCGAAGTGGTACCGGCATTGCCTGGGAAATTGGAGTCTCTAAGGCGGATGAGGAACGAAGTTAAGTCGGACAGGGTAATTGAGAGAGCACAAATGGTCGGGTTTGTCTCTTCAACTGGTGCGGAAATTGGATCTCTAAGGCGGATAGGAAACGAAGTTAAGTCGGACAGGGTAATTGAGAGAGCACAAATGGTCGGGTTTGTCTCTTCAACTGGTGCGGTCACTTCGCAACCAGGTAGGGAACAATGTGTAGCTAGGGCCGATGTGGAGCGAACATAGCAGCTGGCGAAGTAAGGGTTTAGGGATTCTACAATGTCAGCAGGGTCAGACAGAGGCTTACCGTCTGCAGTCATAATACTTGGACTCGTACATGAATTTGAGAAGCAGCGCCTTTGATAGGGGTGCCCCCAGAATCTTGGATTGAAGAGAATGGGCTACGGCAGTAGATTCCCCGCGCTTTTTTAACAGCAAGTTTCCCAGTGGCAATCACATCCATAAATTTGGTAATTAGAATTAGAAGATTTAGATAATGGGATTCACGGAAGAACCCATGTTACTTCCTAATTATATGGCCTACAGCGGATAATCGAGTGGTTGAACGGCAACCAGAAACATAGGAAGCTCGTGTGGGAGCAACTAGACATGATGATGATAGTAGGTCGCTGTAAAGGGTGTTAGCAACGCTTTGCGTGTCACAACGAAAAAAGACTCTTCTTCGATTTTATGGCGCAACGGGATTACAATTACTTCAAGAATGTAGGGGAAAGCACGAAAGAGCTTAAGAAAGGAGGAGTAGGCAAAGGTTGATTACTCGTCCAGCTGCAACTGACAATACTTCGGGCCAACTTCAGCGGTGGAACACAGATAATCGTTGACAGGAGCTATGTCTAGGGTGTGGGCACCGCGTCTCGGTTGCCTTACATGCTGGGATTTTCTACGTCATTTGAATAGGATCCAGCAACTCTCTTTTTCGCACATGGCAAATTATCGGGCCAGGTGTCAAACTGATTTTGTGTTCAGACACATCTTAGCCACTCCAGCACTGCAGATGAGCTTGAAATGTGTGCGTCACTGTTGAAATAGTTCAGTACATTGTCATCGGAAATATTCGTTTCAGCTTCCGAATGCCCTATAAGCCTTAATCTTAGATGCGATTATCACGTTATCTACTCGGCGCGCAAGAATACTTATTAATCATTTAGGCATATCCAGCGAGCTGTTACGAAGATGGTTACCGAGCACAAGTACGTTGATTATGGGCTATATCCGGAGATAAATTTTTTCTCATCTTCGAATTATAGTAACCTCCAAGGTGACACAATACTAAGCTAATTTTGGCAAACTCAACACGTGCTTGATCGCCAGCCTACCAAGTACAAATCTACCCAAATCATGCCTCATTTAATCACGTACCGTCACAGCACTGATTATGATAAACGTTAATTTTTCCCCTGATAATGCCATTCACCTTATATGGCGTTTCCTTAAACTCAGAAGTCTTTGCTGTTCCCATTCCACTCCACCGTGTTCCCAAGCCTCGACCTTCGGAAGCACTTGCTCCGATCTCCCCGATGGCTGCATCTAACGTGTGATCTACGTCCACAGGGATACTCAACCAAACCAGAGAAATACATGTGATATTACATCGGCTCCCTTCTACCTCCGCGAATTCCCCCGACCGACTCAAAAATTCCGCACATTTCAGCTGAGTCACCCCAAACATGAATCCCGTTACGGGTCTATCCAGAAACAGAAGTGTGCTAATGTGATAATGGCACCCCGCGGCCATAATCGGTTCTATAGCACACTCACAACCATTCCATTCTTACTCAAGAAAGTAAATTCTAATCCACCACCGATGCACTATCAACTACGCACAAACTCTCCACCTGGCCCCAGCTACCTTCGGGGAGCGTTCAATCTATTTTCCTGAGCATTTAATCCGAAATTAACCATTCCGGTGGACTTTCAGTTAGTGATCATCTGTTGTATTGTTGACGGCCGTCTATGGGTTACGCCTGCAATGAGCCTGCCAGACAACGCGATAGGGAGAAGACTGAGAACTGGGGACACGGCTGTATTGCCAGGACAAAACATACAGATTGTCTGCGTAATGTATGGGATGACTAAATGGCCAAATATGGTCGTTCACTTGTTCGTTCTGTACAGCCAATGGCGATGTTCCGGTCGTGAACACTCTCGGGCCCACTACTCTGGCCGTGTTTGGTGAGCTCCGCCAGCGCACCTGCTTTTCCGGACGTTTGTACCGATGGTGACCTTGGGGATGCGTCACACTATGCACGTGTGCTTTTTTCCTGTCTGTGAGCGTCCTGACATCCTTAAAAGCCAATAGGTTTCTGCATTGTCCGCACTTCATCGTGTGTTAACAACGGCTCTCACTACTACAGCGACGGCAATGAGTCTGTAAATTTTCACCTGTAAACCACCATTCTGAGTTTGCTGCTAATATTTGTTCTCATTGCTAATTCTCTACTTCATCATTCCCACTCACGCCCTTCATGTTCCTGGCCATAATCCCAGCATCCCGACACCACGAGGCCTCAGTAGTTGTTTTCGGTTTTGGTTCCAACTGACCCACTGGATCACGCCAACGTTGCGGCTTCACCAGACCCCTTGTTCTGCCCCCCATTTTCGGTAATTCACAGTTGCCTGTCATGTATCAGATAGGATGCCACCTCTTTTGCCCTCTATCGTTTCGTTATTGCCCCTACTAAAAACAAAGAAAAACAAAACCTGAGTTAACATTCCGACCCCGCGATTCAATCCACGAATTATTGATCAAATGGGTTTTCATGCGAGCCCCCGTGATAGGGAACTTATTGCCCGGCATTGAAAATGTGGAGAGAGATGTGCCTTGTCATATTTCACGTTTTTTCCAGGAAAACCGTAGTAGCTGAACGAAAAAAATAAGCCCGCCCCAAAAGTTTGGTCCACCGCCTATTTTCTGTATAGAGCCGATGGTTTAATGTGGTTAAAGTCTTCTTCCGAACTCTCGAAATATGTCGCACTGAATTCATTAACCAACTTCAACTTTTCTTCAGCTTTGACTATCGGTTATTATACGGCACATTCAGGCCTTTTCTTATTCTGAAAAGGACAAATGAATTCATGGTGAAGCAATAGTTTGTTTGACTATGTCGTTGTTCTCTTATCTCAAGGCTATCTACTTCGTCTACATTTGATTTCGTATCAAGTCCGCCGCTGGCCATGCCGTTTTTGGGATATACCGCCCACCACCCCAGGATTTATTCGTGATTATGGAAACTTTGAGGCATGTGACCCTCAAGCGATCAAATTTTGGATACGGTTTCTTGCTGAAAGATGACGGTGAGTGCTTATACGAAAAATATTTTTTCTCTCTCCGTAAGTGCCGTCTAGACATATGAACTAAGCAGATCATGCGATCCATGTTTTGATACTTGGAATGGTGCCACGCGTCCTGATGGGTTGGAAGGAAATTATTCAACTTTTTTGGCGTGTAGTAAGCTATCCGAGGAACCCGTCCCCACGAGAACTGCCCAATCGATAGCCCGAGCAACCTCCTCGATTCTGCGCAACACCTAAATCAGGCTGGGTAATATCGATGAGTGTTTGGACTTGAGTGCAGAGGTCAGGTGATTCCGTTCACCTATTCTTCTCGCTACTGAAACTCAACTGTTCAGCTCTCGTAGTGAGCGACTTCCTTTCCCCAGTTTTCCTTCAACACACAAATGGCGGCTGTTAGTGTGGTGCCTAATACGCCGGTAATCCAAGTGTTTTGAATACGAGCAGTGTGGAGACATCAGAACCCGATTCAGTCCTCACTTCAAGTTGCTCATAGAGACGTTGGGTCTGTGTGGAAGCTTCGTCTTATAAGCCTCTTATTTTGCTTGCTTTAAGGACCCATTGTGGTTGTGGGATTTCTCGCCATCTTAGACTTATCCCACATGTTCTCTGCCCCGATTGCAGTCAATTTGGAAGCAGTTTACGTTGCACTCTCGGAAAGGCGGCGCATGCTATGAACAGTGGCACGTTGATCTGTTTTCTGATGGGGTTTTCGGACAACTAAGTCTTTCTCATCTATCCTCGGACCAGAGACAGTAGTGAAGTTGAGTAGCAGCTTATATCACTAATCTGGGTCAGACTCCATATATTTCCGCAATTTTCAACAGCAATGTTGCCGGCGAGACAACCTAACTAGTGAAAAATAATTGTCATGGTCAACCTACTTGATAGATCGGGTTGATAGTCAGGTTGAGATGGGTCAAATGTCTCGCAACGTTGCCCGGGCTATTTGTGAGTGGTTTCAGAGGTGTGTTGCCGCTCCCAGGAGACGACTTTATCGCAGCTTTGAGAACTGTGCCCCTTTGAGTTATACTTGGGGTTTTCAATTTGACACCTACGAAGTTTTTCATACTATACTGGTCGTTGAACAGAACTATGATGAACAGTCTCCAAGTTTTGGGTTGAACCAGTCATACTTATGCTACTAATGCCGTAGTGTACTCCGTAGGACACTGTAATTGTTCGTTGTCTCCATTTTCATCCAACATCGTCGATAAGCTAATTAGGCGAACGCTGGTAGCTATTGACAATGTTGATGTTCAAATCGTTCTTGATGAGAAACTTTGTCGGCGCGGAGTACGCAGAGGACATTGTTCTCACCTTTGAAGATGAGGGCGAAGATCAGGCTGATGAATTTAATTCGCGAATCCCAAAGGCCCAAATGACGTTTGCTCATTTGCTAATTTGATTGGATCTCAAGCGTCGCGCGTACCAGACTACAGTGAAAGCGTATTGCTGTGTGGTTGCGAGACATGGGCAGGTGATGAATGAATTGTAGACCATTGTTGTCTCAGAACTGTTACTAGTTTCGGATGGCGTCAAGTGATTTGTCGCGTAGCAATGGGGAAATTGGTGTTTGTGCAGCGAGTTACAAAGGGATTTGACCTTACCGTGGTGTGATGGTTTGTTTAGCTCCGTGCGACCAAGGGGTGTTCAGAGAAATTCGACACTCAGTTTTCGAAGCAGAGTAGTAAGGTAGTTTTGAGCTTGATGAACGAATTATTAATGGGTTGCGATTGCTGCTGTTCGGATGTTGGAGCATCTTCAAAATCTGTGGAAGACTCCATGTGGCGTAGGGTGACGGTTTCTTCCATTCAATTAGCGTGTCGGACATAGGCGTGCTCAGTGTTACACCAAGAGGCCAACCTCTTCAACTACGTGGTCATACTTCGAAGATCGCGTACTTCGCCGCATCAGAACTAGTCCTGGTGAAAGCAACCACTGCAGTAACTATGTAACGGTTGCGGATTTTCGGTTATGATGAAACATTCGCTCGTGTGGAATGGGATTGGTGACGTTGTACAACAAGAACGAATCGAATGGAACGCGTATTGTAAAATGGTCCCCCAGAGATTGGTCATAATGAAAGTGTGATATCTTTTCTCAAAGTTCCATTTAATCGTCCCAATTGACCATTCCCCTTGGGTCGCATGGAGTGGTTCGACTGGTGGCAACGCCTTTTCCATGGAAAAGTCACTTAATCTCATCCGAAATGAATAATCAATCGCCATCCGAATGCACAAAACTGGACAGGCCGAATGTTGTAAATACACGTATGAGACACAATATCACCGTAGACGAACTTATATCTGGACAAGAATAGGCGAAGAAGAAACGGGACTACTCGTCAACGACCGTCAGTAGATACTTGTTTCGAGTCGTTGAAGGCAGTGATCTTTTGAAATCAATGCTTCAACTTTCGACCGTTCGCGTGGCTTTAAAGAGTGTACCACCAAATGGCTTGATGAAATGGGGTTTTAATTCTGCACCCACTTGACACTACTTATTGACAAGTCGAATATACTCTAGGGAGGATTGGAGGTTCCTGGCTCGATCGAAATGTATCATGCTTGTTGCTCTGGGATGGCATAGACTTGCGTGTAAGTGCTTTAGGTCCAGCTGAGATGGAGTGTGCGCATAGACACTCCGAGAGAGCGTGTTAGCGGCTTTGTTTTCGATGCATGGTCTATAGGTTACGTCAAATGAAAAAGGCGATGACTCCATCCACCTACGTATTTGACTGGGTATTCTGGACAGGGAATTAAGTAGACGTAGTTTGTACGGTGTTTCAGTTCGATTCGGTCTTCAGCCCTCACAAGGTGTCGTTTCAACATGTCGATCCGGAAGAACGTTTACTATCATAATCCCAATGTATTTTTCGAATGGCGTCTGAAGTGCCAACTCCATGGGGTATTCCCACGGCGACCATAGGGTTGTCTTCCTGTCTCGCCGTTTCTAGTAACGTTCTTTTCATTTGTTAGGCAGTGAGCTTCATTGGGTATTTGTTTTCTTTATTTTGCAATGTTAAAGAGCAATGTCCGAGAATAGGGCTTTTGTGCCGGATGGATGCCAAAGTGACCTTGGATGATGTCATCATCATCATCAACGACAGCATGACATCAGTGCTCAACACCAATGCTTCACTGCCGTACAGCCATGACTCATTTGAAAGCCTTATTGTAAAGAAAAGAATAAAGGTGGATGGGGGAGGGACTTAGTGCTAGCTTAACACAATCATTCCGAGGTGCCTACACCTCCAGACATTCACTCAGGCAATCTGGACAGAAACTGACAACAAGAACGCCACTGACATCGGTTGACAGCCATATCTTGTAGTGTCTCCAACCAGGCACAGTGAGGA